CTGACCGTGTGTACGATGATTTCCATTTGAATACTCATAATGGTTATATTGACTGTTGATGCTTAAAAAAAAAACCATGAAAAGCACAGAACCAGTACAGCAGGGAAAAAGGCATTTGTTCCAATGTAAGTGTGAGTTCTTGAGTGAAAGCCAATACCATGCAATGTAGCAATCATCAGTTAACATCAGAGGACAAAGTGATGCTTTATCTTATAGTTTGCCTTGTATTAGTACAGTGCTTATACTAGAGGATTATTCAGCCAAGTAGGTTCAAACACAAAGTAAATTAAATGTGCCACCTCACACTGGCCTGCTGCGGGGTTCATTTTCATAATTACTATTTGTTAGCTTTTCTTAGTAGGTATCTCTTGCTTTTATTCTGTTTATTCTGTCACCCATCCCGTTTTCACCCAGACAACCCAGGTTTCAGCTTGTGTGTCTGGGTGTCATTTGACAAGCCCTGATGTCTGGGATTATTTTATCTGGTGGTGGGTGAAGAGGGAAGAGGCAAAGCTGAGACAGAAGCTCAGGTGTGGGGCCTCTAGGGTCTGGTTACCCACAATTGGAAAGGTGGCAATCCTAGGTGCACCACTCACCACTGGTCTGGTGCCTTCTCCTGGTCACTCTGAGGATTAGCTCCTGAGGTAGATAGCCCCTGCCATGGTTTGCACACCATTATGCTGTCTCTCCTGATCTGCAGTTCCACGGTCACTCCCAGGCCCTCCGTGTCTCCTTTGTGACTTAGCCCTCCAGCTAGGTCACTCAGGGCATGTCTACACTGCCGGCTAAATTGGCACTGCTCCAATTGCTGCAGCAGTGTTGATTTAGCGGGTCTAGTGAAGACACACTATGTCAATGGGAGAGCGATCTCCCATTGATTTGTGTACACCGCCTCCCCGAAAAGCGTAAGGGAAGTCGACAGGAGAGGGTCTCCCATCAACACCATGCAATGTAAACCCGCGGTAAGTGGATCTAGCTACATCAGCTTCAGTTACATTTAGGGTTGCCAGGTGTCCGTTTTTCAACTGGAACACCTGGTCAAAAAGGTACCCTGGCGGCTCTGATCAGCACCACTGACCGGGCCATTAAAAGTCTGGTTGGCGCAGGACTGGCAGGCTCCCTACATGGCTCTGCGCAGCTCCCCAGAAGCAGCGGCATCTCCCTCAGCTCCTAGGCAAAGGGGTAGCTGCGGGGGCTCCACGCGCTACCCCTGCCCCAAGTGCCCAGCCAATGTGAGCTGTGGGGGCGGTGCCTGCGGTCAGAGGCAGCTTGCAGAGCCGCCTGGCTGCGCTTCTCCCTAGGAGCTGGAGGAACATGCTGCCGCTTGCAGGGCCACCCGAGGTAAGCGCAGCTCGCAGCCCACACCCCCACCCCTGAGCCCCCTCTCAAACTCTCTCCCAGAGCCCACACCCTGCACCCCCCTCCTGTGCCCCAACCCCCTGCCCCAGCCTTGAACCCTCTCCCATACCCAAACTCCCTTCCAGAGCCCACACCCCAAACCCTCTCCCATGCCCCAACCCCCAGTCCTGAGCCCCTCCTGCATTCCGAACACCTTGACCCCAGCCTGGAGTCCCTGCTGGACCCCAAACCCCTCATTCCAGGCCCACCCAGAGTCTGCACCCCCAACCGACGCCCTCACCCCCTCCCATACCCCAACAGCCTACCCCAGCCACAGCCCGGTGAAAATGAGTGAGTGAGGGTGGGGCAGAGCGAGCAACAGAGGGAGGGGGGATGGAGTGAGCGGGGCAGAGCCTCAGAGAAAAGGCGGGGCAGGAGGGAGGGACCTCAGGGAAGGGGAGGGGGCAAGGGTGTTCGGTTTTGTGCAATTAAAAAATTGGCAACCCTAGTTACGTTATTCACATAACTGAAGTAGCATAACTTAGATCAATTTACTGCAGTAGCGTAGATCAGCCCTCAGCGTTCCCCCTTCTGGGGTACAAGCCTAGACAGTCTTCCCATTCATTGCCTCAGCTCTAAGCCACGCCCTTGGTGAGTGGTAGGGGACCCCAGACCCACCCTCTTCTCCAGATTCCAGTCCAGCATCCCTCAGCTCAACAGTTCTGGGCTTCCTCTCTCTACCCTCACTGCTCCTTCCCTGGACTGCTTCTTGCTACACAGGCTCCTCTTCTCTTTCTGGCTGTACCAGCTCCAAGAACCCTCTTCCCAGGGCATGACTGCCCTTTCTCAGCAGCAGACCCCACCTATAGCCTGCTATCTGGCTTTACAGGCTTTGCCTGTTCCTGCACAGGTGACCCTCTCTCTAATTAGCTGCCTCCAGCCTAAAGCTCCCTTGTTTGCAGACTAATTAACTCATTGGGCCAACCTGGCCCAATTCAGCTTTTGCAGGGCCAGTGTGGGAAGCTCATCCCCTCATGGATCCCTTTTACTTTCACTCAGCAGAAGTACATCATATGGTTTTTGTGGGAAATTTAGGTGCATGCATAATTAGAAAGAGAAAGCAATGACACACTTAAAAAACTATTCAAGAGTTCTTTGAAGAGCAGGGACCTCTACTGAGCTAGATGGTTAGTAATTAGGGCTGTTGATTAATCGCAGTTAACTCACATGATTAACTCAAAAAAATTAATCGTGATTAATCACACTTTTAATCACATTGTTAAACAATAGAATACGACTTAAAATTCATTAAATATTTTTGGATGTTTTTCTACATTTTCAAATATATTGATTTCACCTACAACACAGAATGCAAAGTGTACTTTATATTATTTTTTATTACAAATATCTGCACTGTAAAAATGATAAACAAAAGAAATAGTATGAGATAAACTGAAAAATACAAATACTGTAGTGCAATCTCTTTATCATTAAAACGCAACTTACAAATGTAGATTTTTTTACATAACTGAACTCAAAAACAAAACAATGTAAAACTTTATAGCCTACAAGCCCACTCAGTCCAACTTGTTGTTCAGCCAATTGTTAAGACAAACAAGTTTGTTTACATTTACAGAGGATAATGCTGCCCACTTCTTATTTACAATGTCACCTGAAAGTGAGAAAAGGTGTTTGCATGGCACTTTTGTAGCTGGTGTTGCAAGGTATTTATATGCCAGATATGCTAAAAATTCGTATGCTCTACATGCTTCGGCCACCATTCCAGAGGACATGCTTCCATGCTGATGATGCTCATTAAAAAAAGTGTTAATTAAATTTGTGACTGAACCCCTTGGAGGGAGAATTGTATGTCTCCTGTTCTGTTTTACCTTCATTCTGCCATATATTTCATGTTATAGCAGTCTCAGATGATGACCCAGAACATGTTGCTCATTTTAAGAAAACTTTCACTGCAGATTTAACAAAACACAAAGAAGGTACAAATGTGAGATTTCTAAAGATAGTTACAGCACTCGACCCAAGGTTTAAAAATCTGCCTTCCAAAATCTGAGAAGGACAAGATGTGGAGCATGCTTTCAGAATTCTTAAAAGAGCAACACTCTGATGCGGAAACTACAGAACCCGAACCACCAAAAAAGAAAATCAACCTTCTGCTGGTGGCATCTGACTCAGATGATGAAAATGAACATGAGTCGGTCTGCACTGCTTTGGATTGTTATCGAGCAGAACCCATCATCAGCATGGACCCATGTCCTCTGGACTGGTGGCTGAAGCATGAAGGGACATATGAATCTTTAGTGCATCTGCCAGGTAAATATCTTGTGACGCCGGCTACAACAGTGCCATGCGAATGCCTGTTCTCACTTTCAGGTGACATAAACAAGAAGCAGGCAGAATTATCTCCTGCAAATGTAAACAATCTTACTTTTCTGAGCAATTGGATGAACAAGAAGTAGCACTGAGTGGATTTCTAGGCTCTAAAGTTTTGCATTGTTTTGTTTTTAATGCATTTTTTGTACGTAATTCTACATTTGTAAGTTCAACTTTCATGATGAAGAGACAGAACTACAGTATTTGTATTAAATTAATTGAAAAATGTTTTTGTTTTTTACAATGCAAATATTTGTAATAAAAATAAATATAAAGTGAGCTCTGTACACTTTGTATTCTGTGTTGTAATTGAAATCAATATATTTGAGAATGTAGAAAATATCCTAAAATATTTAAATAAATGGTATTCTATTATTGTTTAACAGCATGATTAATCGTGATTAATTTTTTTAATCGCTTGACAGCCCTATTAGTAAACAGTGTACTGTATTTAGATAGTTGGGGCCAGATCCTCAACTGTGGTGAATCAGCGTAGCCCTGCTGGCTTCACTTAAACTGTACAGATTTACACCCAACTGAAGGTCTGGTCCTAAATCAAAAGCTCTGAGTTTTTAAGCCCCTGGAAATCAAGCTAGGCATGTCTAATAGCATGAGAACCAGGATGGTCTTGTGGTTAAGGCACAGAACTGGGTGTTAGGAGATACTCACTGCCTCACTCTTCCTGTGTGATCTTATTATACAAGACACTTAACTTCACTATGCCTCACTTTCTCCAAAAAATATAATGAACGATAATTCCCTACTTCAAAGGTATTGCAAGGTACTCTGGCACTAGAGTGACAAGCACCACTGAAATGCCTATAAATAATAAATAAATATTGGTAAGTGCCACTCATCCTAATCTACTGGATTGTAAATGAACTATGGCGGATATGCTTATTGCCGGAACTTGCTTTATTATTTGCTCACTTTTGAAGTTATAAAGGAACATTTACAAGAGGTTTACACAATTCCAGGTTTGCTTTGTTTAACATTGATGTTTATGATTAGAGGCTGGGGAGAAAGAATTACATCTTAGAAAAATTCAAACCTATTTGTAGTGTTTATTTTTCCAAAGTAAATATGCCCACAAAGGTAAAACAGCTGCATAAACCACACCAGCAAGAAAGATGACAAATGAGAAGTTAATAGCTTAACCTTTAGATAGGTGGCAGCTTGAAATATATTGCGAATGAAAAGAGATTGAGTAAGTGGCAATAAATACTCATTTCACAGAACAGTCAACTGTATGATTGGTTGTCATTTTCTAGGTCTAATTCGCCTGCAAGAGCTCATCAAAGCCCCTTCTAGATATAACATTAAAATCAAAATCCGTCAGTTGCCCTCTGGGAATAAAGATGCCAGGCCTTTACTCAAGGAGATGAAGAAAGGCAAGGAGTTCTATGTGATATTTGATTGCTCACATGAAACAGCAGCAGAAATCCTTAAACAGGTAAGAGGAAAAAAACCCACCAATCATGCTCATTTCTCATTCTCAAAGATATAATGCCATTTGGTTTTCATTTGCTGGGAAACAATAAAACTGCATTCATGTGGATTAAGCTGTAGATCTGTTATCAGAGACAGTTGATACAGAGCAACTCATATGAGCTCAGTTGAGTTTTACAGCACTTCGGAGGTGTGCAGTTTCTAATGAGAATTTGGGTTGCACCCGTGAAGATGATTTGCAATTGTAGTTACAACTTTGGATTCTGCTGGCGTGAAAGGAATGTTTCATTATTTGTAATATGTCCTGTTTCAATTTTTTTAACCTTATGTCTAAATGTAAGGATCATTTTCCAAATGCACATTGACTTGTTCAAATCAAGTCGTTCTCTCCATAAAACTTATTGGGTCAAATTAAACTGAGTTACACCAGGGTGAGTCTGCAGTAATTCCACTGAAGACAACATAACAACTCTGGATTCACACCACTGTAAGGGGGGTAGAATATGGCCCACTGGCTGCAACTTGCCAAATTTCGGCTCTGAGCTGGAGAAAAGAGGCAAAGAAAATGGCACCATAGAATTTTTTTTAATTTATTGTTATGTACTATGTATTTCTACAGCACCACAGATACAAACAGGAATAAACACTAAAGATTCCTGTCCCAAGGAGATTGCAATCTAAAGCCCCATTGCCTCAAATATATATGCACCTGCTTAAATTTATGTAGTGGGTTTACTTCACAGGGACTACTCAGTGCATAAAGTTAAGTAGGTGTGTAAATCTTTGTGGGATTGGGGCCTAAGACCCCAGTCCTGCAAACTGATCAGCTCGGGCAGACCCCTGTGCCCATGCAGACACACTGTGACTTCAGTGAGGCACCACACAGGCCATATTCATTGGCTTACAGGTTGGGGGCTTACATCAGACATAATGAAGCTGAGAGCCCGAAGGGGAGCCCCAGGAAGTGATGTAATTTGATTTATTTTTTGGCACACAGGTTGGTAGTTCTGAAGAGCAGGAACACATGGCAAAGGAATGAGCTTTGCAGTGGAAGGCTAAGCAAATGAAGTCAGTCCCAAGGGACATGAAGGAAGTGACTAAGTTTACCTGGCTCACTGGTGGAGGTGGGGAGTACTTCAAGCATAGTAAATTGTTTATGAAAAAATAACCACTGAGTCAAATTTGTTAGTCTCTAAGGTGCCACAAGTACTCCTGTTCTTCTTTTTGCGAAAAAAACAAGAGGAGCCAAAGGGTGCACTACGGTGGGCTAAAGTGGCATAGAGTGCAGGGAGGAGACAAGTGGTAGGAAAGATGCTCTGCAAAGAATTGAAAGTGAAGGCAAAGAGCATGAAGTGGACTGTGGAAAGAAACAGGGAACTGAGTAGGGCTGTGCCTTGGGTCAGAGCTGTGAGGAAGGAAGCAGCACAGCATGTTGAATGGATTGGAGAGGGAAACAATCAGAGGTCAGAGAGGATGTGGCTACTGTAGTCAAAGGAGAGATAAACGTGGTGTGAACCAAAGTTTTGGCCGTGATGACAAAATAAGAAGTGGATTTTGAAGCTTTTGTAGAAGAAGAAAGAATGAATGGTGGTTATGAGACAGTCTTGTTATGAAATGCAGATGAAAGAAGCAGCAGCAAGACATTGAGACTTCCTCCCATCAAAAGGCAGTTGAAGCAGAGATGGGGATCAATATACAGGTTGTTAACTCATGCTACAGGGTAGATCTGTACCTAAAGCATGGCGTTGGATATTCTCAGTAGCCTTATTGGAAAGTCCTATATAACTTTATAGGGATGAAATGAATAAATTAAACAAGTTCTACAGAAATTATTCTGAAAACCTATAAAACTTAATAGAGAACAATATCTTCCCTCTAGAGACGTTTAAACCGTGCCATAGAATTTGATAGGAAATATATAAATCTCATTTAAGGCATATAGGATTTCCCATAAGAGCAGAAACCAAAGCCAAAAATCATGTATCTCACTATGAAAGTAATCCCAATATCTACAATTCTTTAGCTTTTTATTATCCTTACAATAAGACAGTTGAGACTTGGTAGTTCATACTGGAAGAGGCCTGTATCCTGTCCCTCCCTGAGGCTCTGGGAAGTCTCCCTCCTCTCCCCCATGTCAGAGACTTCTGTGTGCCACCCAGTATCAAGGGCTCCATGTCCCCAAGAGAGTGGATTCTCCTTGTCACGGATGGACCTTTTCTCTCTCTATTGGGAGCGGCGCCGCTTCCCACAGCCATCATTGGGCTCTCCCCCTCAGCATTGTACAAACTTTTGGGGAGGTGGCATGTTAGCAGAAGGAAGCTCATCCTTGCCCTCTGGCTCCCTCTGCTAGGGGAGATTGGCACCTACGGAGCAGAGCTCTGTTCCTTTAAAATTAACTTTCCTTCCCCAGCCAGCCTGAACGTAAGAAGAAAAGCATTTGTCTCCCCTACCACCAGTGCAGCTATGCTGCAATGTGGTGACTGTTGACTACACTGAGTATCCAGACAGGTGCACGGTACTCCTGCGTGGTTCTGAGTGCAGAATCAGGAGTCTGACTGAATCACAGGTTGTTTTATGGCTGGAAATGCCCTTTAACTAAAAATATATACATCAGAAATAAAGCCCTTAAAACATGTAAGTGCAGAAATGTGTGAATATATAGTACAACTAGGCCCATTGGATAAGTAAGTACAAACTGAGGCTCCATGCAGAAAGGGGTAGTTTATTTACCCCACACTCCCTTTTTAAAAAAAACAACAGAATTCCCTTTCCTAGAGTGGACTAAATACCTTTAGCTTATTTTATGACTCAATTAAAATACAGTTGAGGCATACTTCTTCCTTGTATAGTTAGCAATCACACTATAAACAAATAGGAAAATCAATAAATTAATTCAAACAAACTCTGACACCCATACCTTTCTGAGTAGTCTGATCCCTGGGGCTCATTTTTTTAATGAAGAGCTTTGAAGAGCCTTTTTATACTCCCTCGCTACTCTAACAAGGTCTAGCTCAGGGGTCGGCAACGTTTGGCACGCGGCTCACCAGGGTAAGCACCCTGGTGAGCCGGGCCAGTTTATTTACCTGCTGACGCGGCAGGTTCGGCCGATCACGGCCCCCACTGGCCGCGGTTCACCGTCCCGGGCCAATGGGGGCGGCGAGAAGCGGTGCAGGCGAGGGATGTGCTGGCCGGGGCTTTCCGCCGCCCCCATTGGCCCGGGACGGTGAACCGCGGCCAGTGGGGGCCGTGATCGGCCGAACCTGCCGCATCAGCAGGGAAATAAACTGGCCCGGCCCA